CCGGTTCCAGAGTAAGTACATCCTGAGAATGTTTCACTCTGCCTAGGGGAATGCACAGCCCTTTTTCAAAGGGGAGAGAGTGCTTGTTGGCTCACCATACAAAGGAAAACGTTTTTAGTCAGTGAAATGGTGAAAGAGAGGCTGTCATAGGGTTTTTTTCTATCCTTTAACTAGCAGCTGTTTTCTGTTGTAGATCTGAGATGCAGTAGATGGTGCTGAAGCAACGCTGAGACTCCTGAAATATCCACAGTCCAGTGTGTAAACAGAAAGTGCCTGCTGGCTCTCTCAAACATTGATGGCCCTGTGTCTTCAAGAGATGCACTCTGGAACAAGAAAACACTGACTGTTAGTTTTTAAAATGTTAATAAATAATTTTTTGTGTTACCTTTTTGTTCTTTATTGCTTGTGAAGGTAGGCAGCTTAGGTAGTACAAATACCAACCAAGTAGTGCGTCAGGTGGTTTCAGTTCTGTGTGCGGATAGCGGTCAAGTTTAAGTTGTTGAATGTCAGCTCTTTGACAGCTGTTGCTCAGTGTTGCTAAAATCAACACTGAAAGACAGGTGGAAGTTTGGGAGCATACTGCTCTAGGAATACGTATTATAGCACACAGCCACAGTGCTTGTGTTTCCTGTCTGTGCACTCACTGGGAGAAGCATGCAGGCAGGAAATGTTTAACCGTATGACTAAGAAGTTGTATCAAGGTTTGTACTGTCAAAATAATGCACTGTCAGCAAGTCTTACTAGCCAGGTAATACAAGCTGTCGTTGATCGTTCTGCTAAAGGTCCTCTCAAGAATGTAGGTTGATGGTAGTGGACAGGGTGCTGACTGATGACACAGTGACATCATCTCTCAGTTTGTAAAAGTACCTGACTCTTTGAACTGTGTAGATTTGGCAAGTGGTAGATACTTTATATCCCCTTAGTGAAAGTAGATAAGCCTGCCTTTTTACATTGGAGCCATTAATTTGATATTATGGCTTGTGTTTGGTAATTTGCACGAGGGCAGGATCACTAGGACTTCATCACCGACACATATATGATAAAGAATGCTTCACTGACTTTAAAGATGAAGTCATGGGCCAAAAAAATCTCTGTTTTTTTCCCTGGCATTTGGTTTTGTGAATAACCAAGATTCCTGTCTACTGCTTCTGAAAATTATGCTAGTAGCATGATGAAATTGGTGTGATACAGTAGTGTCATTTTCTAGGGTTGAGAATAGCAGCAGGGAACTTGACTGGCTCTCTGAACCTATGGAAGTTATTTTCACTGTTTTTGAATGTAGAGAGTGGATGAATGGGTAAGTGCACTTCTTGCATTTTCCTCCCCCTAACTGGAGGATCTTAAGCTTTAGAAATGCTTTAATGTTTCACAATTCTTTGGCTTCTCTTAATTTTAAGAGAGCCCTCCCACTGCCTATGAAAGCTGCCTATAAGTGGCTTTTTTCAGATCCTTTATGTATGTGTGAACATAAATAGACACCCACACCTTTCACATGGGAATTGAAAACTGTAGGAAAAAAATTACACAGTGATCTTGGGTGACTTTGTAATACCACTTCTGTGGGATATGAGCCTGAGAGCAATGGAAAATTGCTTTCCCTTGTTCTGTTGTGCTTCTGTTTTTTCCAGTGTACAATGAGTGTACCCTACAGGATTCAGGATCCTTACAGAAGGAGAGAACAGTCTTTATCCACAGCAAGTACCTTCTGAATTGGTCTTATAAGTGAATACTATGTTGTTAGCTTGGGGGGTGGGGGAAGGGAGGCAAGAGTGTGAAATGATTCCAAGTTGAAATTAATTTCTCTACTTTATGAGAGAGGAAAAAGCAAAAGTTCCTTGTTAGCCTATTTAGAAAATTCATGACCAAATGCGGCATTTGAAGGCAGCCTTACTAGCAGTCATTTTGTAATTTTTTTCCTACTTTTTATTACAGTGAGCAGTAATGTAAAGCCTAATATAAGGTGACTAGTTTTATAACACTTCAGCTGGACCCTTATGGATTCATTGAAATCCTGTAGCAATCAAAACCAAGAGCTAATGATAGTTTTAGGCCACTATCTATTTTGACTGAAATCTATCGGGGCAGTTAAGTGTAGAGGTAATTTTAAACATTAGGCATTCTAGTAGGATTACATTATTTTAGCAGTTTTCTAAAAAAACATGCTAAAAATCTAGACTGTTTTGACTGTTATAATGCAGACTGTAGAATTTAATTTTCTAAATTTTTAAATGTGTGTTTATTTCAAGAATCCATGTTTTTTTATGCACCGCATTCTGTAGAAAATTGTTCCAGTACCAGTTGGTTTATTAGATTCTGCTGTAACTTTAGGCTGAACTCTCACAGTTTTGTGCTACCATCAAATGAATCTTGCTTTGTCTTTCTGTTGGGACCCAAGTCTTATTGGAAGTTTCTTTCTCATTTAGATACTTAATGAGGTTACTTTCAGCTTTTTGGGGTGATATAAAAAAATGAAGATTTTAGGCGTTGTATTACTGGGCAAATTTTTCAGCCTTACGTCTTTGAACATATTTCTTTATGCATTTATTTTAATGTTCATTATCTTCAGGACTCAACACTGTAGCCCATGTATAATGCCACATCCAGAAGTAACACCCAATTTTCTGTCACTTTGACTTCTAACTTGCTTGTAGGAATTATGCTCGTGCTCTCTTCTGAAGTATTTAAATTTTGGTTTTAGTGACTGGGTTACCTCTTTACTGGGTGCAGTAACATGAATTACAGTTTTAGGGAGGTGTTGTATTTTCATTTTAAGTGTTCAGATGTGTGTTTTTCAAAATGGCATGCTTTGCAAGGTTAGTTTGTTTAATGGATCTGTTCTTGTCACTTACCAAGCTTAGTGTTTGTGTTGCTCTTGGTAAAAGAGCCAATGTTTTTGGATTTGTTTTATGTTAGCTTCTAAAAACACTACCAGGGTGAGCACTGTGTTTACCCTGAAAGAAATACCCCTTTGAATGTTGATTCCATGTTTACAGTAACTTATGATCAGTTAATTGTTTTTAATCCACAATACAGTCAACACAAAAATAACATTATCCAAAATTAGTAGGGATGCGATGTGGAGCTAGGCCAAGTGCCTTATGGGCATATCTGTCACACTTGCTTTTATTGCTTGTATTTGTGGTTTCTTCTGGTTGGAGACTTTGACTGATACTTGTTTATTCACACTTATTGTCAGTTGATTTTCCTTCATGCTGTCACTATTCACATTTTCATTTTTTTCTTTTGCCCTCGCTTGCTAGGAGAGATAAAGGCCTATTAGAAAGGTATAATGCTTAGAGAAATTGAAGGAAAATACTTCCTGTGTCTTGAGTAGAGTCACAAGGCGTTGCACCCCTACACTCAGCTAAGTCTTTGAAATGTTTTTGTCAAACTCAAGACGTGTTTTATTTGTCCTTTCAAGAATAGAGATGGGTATTGTATCACCTTAAAAGGAAAGAGTCATTCCGTTGCTTTGAATTTTTATTCAGATGGGATACAAAAGACTAACGGTGGTTTGAAGAATCTGAATGTATGGAACTTGTGCTAAAATCACTCTGTTCAATACTAGGAGCCCTTTTTATTGCCACACATTGTAAGAAAACAAAATGGTGAAATAAAGCAATTGGGGAAAAAAAATCATTATGTCAGTGACATGATTTTTACATGTAAAAATGGTATTTTAAATTTTGTGTGTGCGGGTGCATGTTTTAATCCATTTGCTTTGTGCGTGTCAGAGTAAGCTTTTAAGAAACTGATCCCCTAAAACTTGAAATGGGTTTAATTTGGGTATTTGCGCTTCTTAAAGGCATTTGACATAAAATGTTCAACTTGATGAGCACAAAATTTGATTAATTTCTCTATGAAAAGCATACTGTCTCCTGCTCTGAAAAGAAAAACCCAGACAACTTTAATATTGCAGTGTGTCAGATTTACTTTGCATTGCTGTGCATAACAAAAGCAGAGACAATACTCTCTTCTGATTCCACATCTGAAAAGGTGTATTTAACTTGTTTAACTGTAGATGTTTAGTCATAAAACTTTTGCAGTTGAAATGGAAGTAACATCATTTAATTCCTTTGTCATGTTATCTCATCCTTCGTGATTTAAGTTTTCAGCTGTCTGATATGCCTACTCACTAGTTAACTTTGAGTAGTATATGTTAACTGGTACAAAGCTGGTGAGATACTTTAATTTTCCCAAGCAATGAAGAGATTTATTTATCAGGTACTGCAGATCTGCGACTATAAACGTTCTAAGCTCTCTCTTTCTGCTCATTGGAGTTGCTTAGGTATTTTAGTGATGATGCTTTGGAAATAGCTTGGGTAAATGATGCAGTATTTTGTATTTAGATTAGACAGCTTTAAAGGTTTGTATATAAAACTGTCTGGTGTAAAGACTGGGTGGGTTGTTTATTATGTGAAATAGCATTGAAACCTTTCCTATGTTGTTATGTATATGAAACCACTAAGTGTCAAGTAGCCCAGTCTGCAATACTGGAAGACTAAAACATCCTGGATGGTGGTAGTGTGTAGTTGCATGCCATAAATTGTGCAGAGCTGAGGGGAAGTGACAAAATAAATATGTATTTTAAAAAGGGGGGATGACTTGGGAAAATTAAACTACAATTGTCTTGGTGACTCAAAGTACTTCTCAGTGTTTCATTTCCAAGCACTGACTAAGATGAGTGAGTCATTGGGAATATACTGGAGTGGAATTTCAGTATTGTATTAAAGAGGAAAAGAGGAAAGAAGTGGAAGCTTTGGAGTTTAAGAACTGTAGGGTCCAGTAGTGATCTGCAAATGTCTGAACTATATTTTAAAGGTTTCAGTTCATGTTTTGCTCATTTAATGTAATTTAGTTTGAATCCAGGTGTGTCATCTTATTGGTAAGATGGTCACTTTGGGAAAGAACTTGTCTTGATGAGAAAGGACGAATGCAGTCTATGAGTTCAGTAATTCATCTATGAAGGAAAGAACCTCTGCCATCCTTAGATGAATTAGTTTGCAGAATATTCTGACATATATATGGGGTGTTGTGTTTGTTTTTTTCCTGCAATGCTTTTTTTACATGTGCATGATCTTTCTTTTTGCTTTCAGGCCTTGAGTATAAACTTACGTAAGTTCTAAAAATGGGAAGAATTTTTCTGGATCATATTGGTGGCACTCGCCTGTTCTCCTGTGCAAACTGCGACACGATACTGACCAATCGTTCTGAACTCATCTCCACTCGTTTTACAGGGGCCACGGGAAGAGCCTTTCTTTTTAACAAGGTTGGTAAGAAGCTGAGGGGGAACTACTATTTGCTTTTGAAAAAGGAGTTTGTGGGATATGAATCATCAAAACTAAAAACTTCTTGACTCAAGTGTTGTGTAATTACTATTTTAATTTTTTTATTTCTATTTTGTTCTATTCAGCTGTCTTTGAAGTCAAATTAGGCATTTACCATCGATGGCAAGCTATCTAAATTAGTTTTTCTGCAATACTAAAAGACTCTAAAGAGAATTGTGTTTAATAGAGGCATCATGCCAAAATGCATGGTGTTTTAACTTTGGAGACTTCTGTAATATGAACTTCAAAGTCACTGTATGAGGATCTTTTGTCTATCAAAGAGTTTCAAAAGCATTTTTACTTCTAATCAGTTAAAACAAAAAGTCTAGATAATATTATGTTTCATTCCTAAAATGCATTTAAGCTAACAGTAGTTTGGCAACTTTAGGTAACGACAGTCTCTTTTACAGGCAATAATACTCTGGTTTAGTTTAATATCTTTTTTATTGATCAAATTTGATTTAATTCAACAGATTGAAATATGAAAGTCATAATTCAAAGTGAATTGTAGCATTATATATTAACCCTTCCATATAGACTTGTCCATTAGACTCATTGAAAAATAAGAGTGATCATCCTTTGCTTTCTCACAAAGTTCCTAGTGATATAATCATTGGTGTGTTTTGGTTTGGGTTTTTTCTTGAAAGCCTTTTGGCCATTGGCAGAGTTGATAGAGGCATCAGTAATGTCTTCGCTTAACTGCTTGGCCTTGGGATTTCTGGTATGCTGTATCCTGTCAGTAGCATTTATATGTTAGGCTGCATAGCTATAAAAGTGCTGTGTATCTGATTTCTTTCTCATCCAATAAGCACTGGATCCTGGGTTCAAATTTTTTGTTGAGTTACATAGTGGGGTTTGATCACAGAAGTTTGATTTTTACATTTCTGGACTCAGAAGCCTTACAGCTGAAGCAGAGAGAGCAAGCACAGCCAGGTGGAAAGTTGAGAAAGCAGTGCTGCCCCATCTCTTAGAAGCCTACCACATATTAGCAGTTTGGATATAGTTCTGATATCAACTTTTCAATGAATTAAACATCCTGGTTCTGTGGTGTTGTTGCCTAAACAATTTAAAAGTATATTTTAAACTGCTGAGGTAGCATACAAAAAAAATTATAATGTTTAATGCCTGCATTCTCAGCCACTGAGCCTTCCTTTTTCTTAGATGATAATTTCAGAAGCACCCCAAGATTTTTAAAGAAGTACCTCTTCTAATATTTTGGTTTTGACTTCTGGGAGTAAGTGTTAGAAATAGGTTACATATATTTCAAGTGGATTGATATCAGTTTACAAACTGTTGCCCAGGAATTTCTCACCCAAAGTTGAACACCGTACTCTACACTCTCGTAGGTCTTGTGATAGCATTTCATGTCTCTCAGTTAAACAGTGAGGGTTATACATCCCTGTAAAGCACATCTTTAAAGTGTTACCTTCTCAAGCAGGAGATTTTCAAGGGCTGTTGATTTACTTACTCCAGTTTTCAGTTCATATGCAGTGCCACAGGCTCTTTACTTTTAAAATGTTGATAGTCGTGCACATTGTTATCGAGCTTTGCTCTAGACAGACTAATCCTTTCTATTCCCTATTCCCTGTGTATTTGTATCAGGTGGTAAATCTGCAATACAGTGAAGTTCAGGATCGAGTCATGCTCACTGGGCGCCACATGGTTCGAGACGTGAGCTGCAAGAACTGCAACAGCAAACTGGGTTGGATCTATGAATTTGCCACTGAAGACAGCCAGCGCTACAAGGAAGGCCGTGTTATCCTGGAAAGAGCATTGGTCCGAGAGAGTGAAGGATTTGAGGAGCATGTTCCATCCGACAATTCCTGAAGAAACTTGAGTCTCTTCTCAGGTTCTCTTCAATTGAAACTCAAAAATAATAAAATCAACAAAAAAAGTCTGCTTACATACACTGTCACCTTAGCATCAGAGTCGGATTCATGGACTACAGAGTGGGAAAGCTTGTGAGAGTATTTCAGATGGAACCTTCCTTTCTTTATTCCTTTTATATTTTACTTTCCCTCCAGCAGCTGTTTGTAGAAAGAATGTTGTGCAGATGCTGTAACTTTTTCTCTCTTGCATTTACATCTATTTGACTTAGGATTGTATCTACAGATACAATGGGGTAAAAGGAAAATATTTGGGGGATTTGTCTTTTGTTAGAGAGAAATTCAATGAGGTTTTTTTTAGTTTGCACAAACTGATCTCAGCATAAAATTATTTTAAAACTACAGATGTTTTTTAAAAAGTATATTCCAATTTTTGGCTTTTTAGTTAGGTTTTTTCCCCTCCCCCTGGTCTTTTCACTTGATTTGCTAGCTAAAGTAGAGAGATCCGAATTTGTGCCGAGTGCTAAAGGTTCAGTGTTGGTACAGCTTGGGCTGGCCCTTGTGCCATATTCTTGTTGAGGTTGATTGGTAGCACAGAGCCCATTATTTCTTGTCATTCTTGACCCAAAGATGTCACCATTCTTGTTTATTTGTGAAGTCCCATTCACCATGTAAACTGGTGTTGATTGGAAACTATTCTTGAAATAGGGCAAAACTGCTTGGCTTTTTTTAACTTTAACTGATGTAACTTATAAGCATAGTAATAATATAAAATAATAGTTGTCTGTTTAGTCTTGCGTTGCTTACAAATCAAGCTGTGTTTGTAATGATAGGGATCCACTGAGAAACTACTGTTCCAGTAGTAATTTTTTTTCATTTCTCTACTAATCTCATTAAGTAGACAGGGAATTGCAAATCTTAATTCTTCAAGTAGCTTTCTTTAAACCCAGAACTTTCTATGTTAAACACAGCTGCTGTGTAAAAGGAGAAGATTGCCAGCATGTTTGTTCATGCCTAGAGTTATGCAATCTGCATCTCTTGAAAATATTAACTTAAACAGCTTGTTTTCAAATGCTGCTTCTGGTGTTGAAACCTTTATCTTTCAACTTTGTTGAACCTTTTCATTGTGATGTTACATTTTTATCTTTCTGGGCAGCAGTACATGTCAGCCTAGTAAACTAGTGACTTGGATTCCTGCTTTCTTCTTGTAGAGGTCAGCTCTGTTTAAAATGGTGATCTTGCTTGCCTTTTTAGCAAAAATGCTCTTCATTAATTTAACTCAAGGGTGCCCAAACACTTTCATTGTGTCTTAAGCCATAAGTTAAAATCTCAAGGGCTGAAATTTATTTGAATGTTAGATTTGTATGATTCCTTATCAAAGATATAATTTTTTTTTTCTTATTGGATAAATTGTGGTCAGTGTGAAATAAGTTACCCACAGATGTACAAGAAGGGAAAAGAAAAAAAAAAACCCAAAACCCAAACAAAAACCAGCCAACCAATCAGATCTGGGCTCTGACCTTTCAGAATAACTTATCTTCACTAGCCACAGCTCCATATGTGAAACTAAAATGTGGAGGGTGACTACGCTGGGTATTTTTCTTTCGTAATTTTGTTGGTTGCCAAGTGGCAATTTGGACACCCCTGACTTGAATCTACTGCCTATTTCATGTAAAAGTAGCTTTATCATAGAATTGTCACATAGAAAGAAAACAGAGTAGATCACATACCAGAGCTGTGCTTGAATCAAGCTGCTTAAGCAATAGTGTACTTGTGCCTCAAATGAATCAGTTTTTGCACTGAGTACAGTAGTACCCCATTATCTTGTACTTCTGTCCCTCACAGACCCCAGAAGCCCCATTAGCATGGTTCTCTGCAGTACTTTTCTTGTACTTCTGACATTACAGTACAATAAAGTATGTTTTGTCCTGAATTGATATTTGCCATTCTTTTGGAGTAATTTTCATGGAGTCTGTCAACTGAATGACATAACCTGTCTTCCTTTCCCAGCACTGAGTAAATCAGTGTGTTTCTACAGCAGAGTGACAGGCTGTTGATGAGCATCCCGCTCTGAATAGGTGGCAAAAGAGTGTACTGTTGATTTTGGAAGGTGCTTAGTAAAGCTTCATGCATACTACTTGGACACTTGAAAGCCTTCAATATACTCCTGTTAAAGAGAAAATAAAAACAGGAAATTGCTCATTTAATGGAATTCTGGGTGCCAAACGTCTTTGTGTTTGAAAAGACAGAAAGCTAAGCAAAACTCCAGCTTCTGCAAGAAATGTGAAGTTTTAGCTTCTGAAATGGCTTGGGAATTGGGAATTTGTATATCTGGAATTCTGTGACCTTTTTTCTTTGTGTGCAAATGTTAGGGAGAAGTCTTCTGCTAGCAGCTGGTCAACTTCATAAGCTGTAGCTGAAGAACCAAGGTGAGAGGTTCATTATATTGGTGTAGTGGAGCCTGAGTGGCTTATTCTAACTTGTGTTAAGACCTCTTCATTTTGGTAGACTGTTAGAGTCTGAGATGTTAAAGATAAATTATGATTTGAAAAACGCTATTGAGGCGAATTCATTAAAAGCCTATGAGACTTAAGCAAGTCCACTGCAGCTTTAAAACAGTAGACTCGGGATTGCTCTTTTGGCCTACATGCTGCTCCCTTCTGTTTCTCTCTGTGGGAGAGTTTAGCCTCATAAATTTTGACTGCTCCTCCTTGAGATGCTTTGTGTGTGAATACAGATAACTTATCTGTAGGGGACAAGACGATTGGTTACAGTACAGCTAGCAACAGGGAAGACACTGCTATTTGGCGTTCAATGTTATTTTGTAGTTGTGCAGTAGCCCTGGGTTCCCAAACAAGGCATGGCTGGCATGGCAAAATGTGCCACTACAGTGAACTTGTGCCTGGCATGTGACGGTGTGCCTATGCTGTCTTAGGCAAAGAAGGCAGAAGGCAATTACGCTGTACAACAGACTACTCTGTTTATGGAGACCTCAGAATTTGTGCTTTTAGGCTGCAGCATGGGCTAGCAGTGGTCCTCTGACTTTTGCCTAACATTAGCTGTATTAGAGTTTGTTACCTGCGCTATGATCTCATCTTGTAGTTGCAGTGTAGGTGTACCCAAAACTGAAGTACTTCATTAAAGGTGCTGACTACCATTACAGCAAAACACAGCTTTGGGAAGATGAAAAGATTGGATGGTGTCTTTGTGGATTGAAAAAGCTTTCTTTGGATGTTCAAAAGAACTTTTGAAATGACATACGTACCTCAGGGCTCTGTCAGAATAGGTAGCCTTACGCTGCGCTCTGGGAAGGCTATGGTCAGCTGACACAGGCTTATTCTTACAGGGCAAACTTGTCTCTTCAGATACCGGCCAGAGCTGTAGGAAATAGGGTCAGCAGAACATCAGTGGATTAACAGGTAAGGGACTGGTGAAGCTGCAGTTCAGGACACAATTGCCCAGTGTAAGGAAGAAGTGACTGGGAAGGCTGTAGCATTGACATGGGAAAAGGCTACTTGGTTAATCAACCCTATCTGAGAAGAGAAACCTAAACTGTGATGTTGCAGTACCATTCTGCAAAAGCCAGCAAGAGGGTGTTGTGTTTCCTTCTTGGGCCTGCCTTCACTTCTTTAACAAAATGATTAAAAAAATAATTAAGTAAAATCCAGTGAAGCTTGGTTTCCTGTGGCTCTTGAGGGCTTTGCAGACTCCCTGATGCCTGATAGGGATGAAATGCTTCAGACTTGGCTTGACTGGGGCCCTGATGAGGATCGCTTTCCAATCTGGGCCCTGTTTTTGCAGCATGTTAAAGAACTAAGCAATTTTAAGACCCTTTTCTTAAAAAGTTGGAATTAAAAGTGCCCAATAACTTAAAAAGATCACTTCAAGTGGTGAGGAGGAGTATGACTTGATTGATGGTGGCACTCTGTAAGCCTTTGTCTTCTTTCAGGAAATCTGAAATCCTATGGCCAGAGAAAATGAGCTCCTGTCTCTGTAATCAACTATTACGTGGAAAAGCCATTCAACAAGCCTAATTTCGACAGAATGGAGCTGTTCCTGGTCTCAGAGTTGCTTCCCTCATCACCTCTCTGATGTAAGGTTTTCTGGTATGTAGGAAATTATAAGGGGAGAAATCTCACGTTTACCTTCCAGCCTTTTGTTTGTTTACTAATTGGGTTCTTACTTGAATGGATTTCGGTGATGCTAGTAAAACTGCTGGCAGCCTAATGCCAGCCTTTCACTAGCTAAGGGCCCTTCCAGCAGGGTATTAGTGATGTCATCATCTCATCCTCAAGTCTAGGCAGAGCTTATTTGGGAATGATGCTTGACTGAACATCCTGCTCTGGCTAGAGGTGATGCGGGGGAAGACCTCATTCACCCTGCTGACACTTACATTCCATTGCTATGCTACATCCCCTTCCATCTGATGTTCTTGTAGGTGTGATCTGCTTAAGTTTGCATTGCAGCTCCTTTTAAAAAGGCGGTGACTGTGAGACAGCAGCAGTCTGTGCCTCTTTTAAACGTGGCATTTCACTCTCAGGGTCCTTAAATACCTACAGTTCGGTACAGGCTGCTCTGACTGCTGCTCAGTTGGAAGAGGCGGTTGTGTTGCTGCTTGACTTGTTAGTGCAAAAATAAACCCTGGCACTTATTTAAGAAATGGCCAGAGCCTCTCTGCAATGGGAGGCAGGTTATGGAAGAGAACCACAGATAAATGAGGAAGGAAAACGTGTGTGTGTGAGGGGGGATTCAAGTCTTGCTAAACCAGATAAATTCACTCAGAAGCAGCAGAGGTGGGAGAAATTCTAGAGGTAAGCTTGCACCTTTTCTTTATGGCTTCTGTGGGTTCAGGGAAAGTGGAAATCACCTGGGCATTGCAGAGGATCTAAGGTCCTCTAAGATAAACAGAGGAAGAGAGGGAATGTAAGCACTTCTGTTTCTTTTGAGAAACCTTATGGAATGTCCTCGCTGTAGGACACTGATAAGGGGAAGTGCAGAGCCAGAGCTAAGTTTCTGGCCTCTTTGTGTTTGGGTGAAGGCAGCTGGAAAGTATTTGTCCTTCAAAGTAGTCTCTGTTTTTGTTCTCATTATCTGAAGCATTTAACACTATCAGGAACTTGCATTTCTCATAGAAGTAAAAATAGGAGAAGGAACAAAAAGCTATGGCATTAATTTGCATTTCCTAAGTGTCAGACAGGGGTAGATGGGAGAGGGAGGGGTGTTCAGAACCTTACCTTTTGACTCTGTCCATGAGAGAGGTGTGCTTACCTGACATCAGGATCCAGTGCTGTTTCCCTCTAGGACTCAGGGATGTTTAGATGGGAGATTTTGCTTTGTCCTTTTGAAAGCATTTGATTTGACTGTTGCAAACACTTACAAGTGTCTGAAACAGTAAGTTGACTGCATTACAAGAGACTGCATGCCGTAGTTGTTTGCAGGCTAAGGGCAAGCGTTGCAATAGATGCAGTTGGTGAAACAGGGAGACTCCTGTTCTACTAGGGGAACACAAAGCAGCACGGCTAGCTCATACAAAGGCGCTTAGCCAAAAATCTGCCTGGTGACTTTCATCATATAGACTGACTGAGTATCGCAATCTCCTGCCCTTGCAAGGAATTGAAAACTATTATTCTAAGCACAACTACACGGTGAGTACAGAAGGAAGAATAGGAGGTTTGTTACTTTTCAGGGGTGGACCTTTGGTCCTGTGCACTGTCAAGAAGGTGGGATGCTCTGAGAGCGGTGGTGAGAACTCAGGTGCACCCTATGGACAGGGTGCAGAAACAGCCTCGGTGGCTATGCTGCTGGTTGTATTTGGCCAAGAGATCTTTCTCCCCTGTCCTACCTGTTTTTATTAGGTTTGGTCTGATCTGGAAATTCATATGCAGGTATGCTTTAGTGCACACAGAGTGCAGCTGCCCATATCCTCAACTAGAGCAATTTGCTTAGGCTTCCTTAGAGCAATCTTTTTCCTTTAGGGAATAGGGGGAAAATAAAAGCTACCTTAGCTCAGTCAGCACCCAGAGGTGTACATGGTGAAATGCATGCAGAAAAAAGCCATAACTGCATAAATCTGTAGTGCTTGCTGGACCTTCCCTACAGAATTAACACAGTTTAAGGATTTGGGAAAGTGCCTGCTTTTGGCAGTATTAGAGG